TTAAGCATATTCAATATATTTTGTATGAATAGTCATTTGCCCTAGCACCACCATCCTTTCTTTTGAAAGGTGGCAAAGTCATCTTTGTCATAATTCTTCATTTGCTCTGGTACTTGGTATGATACAATAATTTTTATAGGGAGATTTTTTGCTATAGGGGGCATGTATGAGACAGAGACTCAGAAAGTGAGAAATCACCCCCGAGGGCGTGGCCACGCCACAATTTCTTCTCTAGTCTCCTCTCAAGGTTTGGGGCATGTACATGCATGCACATGCTGTGAATTTTAAGCCTCCAGGTCCAGGACTTGAACCACAGTCCACTATGTGGGAGTCCAGCAACACAACTGTTATGCCATTTGTTGGTCCCAGTACAATAATTTTTTTAATGCTTGTGGCCTTCATTTGCATTTGTGTTGGAAATGTTTAATTTTGCTTTTATTTACTGGGTTTTAATATATGTACAGTATGCCTCATATCTCATTCTGAGTTATATATTTTTTTCCTATTAAGGGTTTTCAGAATTCTTCTGTATCGCTATTTGTGCATCTAACCTATTTCTTCAAATTTTTGTGCTATATTCACTTACCAGGTTAGCACCAGCCTCCCTTTTACCACAACAGCATATACTTTTATTCACTCTCTGTGTTGTTACTATTCATTGGAAAAATCTTTATTGATTGCCTGTTAGGTGCCAGGTACTGTTTGTTATAGGTAATGGGAAAAAAGCACTTCTGAATTTATTATGTAGATAGTTTTACAAAAATAGATGTTATGGTTAAGAAAGTAGACTCTCGGGGCCAGCAGTTGGTTTTAGTGGTTAAGGTGCTGGACTCCCCACATGGCTTGCCATGGTTCGAGTCCCTGACCTAGTGACTTGCTTTCTCACTTTCAGTCTCTCTCTCTTGCTGGTAAGCACACATGCTCTACAGCAAATTAAAATAATAAATAAAATTATGATAAATTATTATTTATGAAGAAAGAAAGAAAATAGATTCTCGTAATGACTTATAAAGTCAAGCTAAGAAAAAGGGAGGTGAGAACCCTGTGATATAAACCCAAATATAAAACATTTAAGAACGCATCACATTCTTTCTTTCTTTATTTTTTAATATTGTTGCCATAGGGTGTATGTGTTTCCTGGAGAGAAACCTCTTGGCAAATCCTTCTCCATTCTCCTGGAATTTTGGACAAACACACTCATGCACCTGGCATACTTGTAGGCCACAGAGTCCAGGACTCCCACTGCAGCTGGCCACATAGGATTCCATGCTACTGCACCACCTGCTGGCCACTGAAGAGAGTGTTTAAAGCAGAAACCAAAAAAGCTGCTTTGATTTGAGTGCATTCTCATTTCAGTGGCACTGATTCAGGGACACATTTTTATTGAAAACTGTACTTAGTTTTATTGCTCACCGTACTTAGTTTATGCGGAGAAGCATACCATCAGGGTCACTGTCATCGAAACATCTCCCTCCCATGTTTTAGAAAAAGTTCCACTATCAGCTAAGAACTTAGCTCCGTGTACTTGGCTGTTGGTTACCACTCCTGTGCATTTGTTTTATAGCCTCTTCTTTTGATACTGTATGTAGATCATGTTTAGACCCATGTTGTTATTTATCAGCCTTCAGGATGATTTTCTTGTTCTTTTTTGGGAAACGTTTTCAGAGCTTTGTGCCTTTCTTCAGTCACCATCAGATACAGTGTGTGGCTCCCCCTTGACTCAATTATACTGAGTCCCTGAGTTCTATGAACTTTGATCAGTGTCTGTTTTTGACTAAAGTTTTGTGTGCACCAAGGTACTTAAAGATGGGGAATCTGTGTTATTAAGTGTCTCTCTCTCTCTCTCTCTAAGCCCTAGTAGACATTAATAATGTCTTTTGTTTAATTAGAAAGCAAAATTTTAAATGTATAATTCATACTGAAAATTGAATTGCTGGGGCAGCACGTAGCATACTGATTAAGGCACTGGATCCCACATGACTGAATCCTGATTCGAGCATGCATCCCCAAAATTCCAAGAGGAGAATGGAGGAGAAGGGATTGTAGTATAACCATTCCCCCCAGGGGGTGATTTCTCACATTCCCACTCTCTCTACCTCTCTTCAGTGAATGCATGTGCTCTGTGGCAACATTTAAAAAAAAAAAAAAAACTGAATTGCCATTAAATGTGTCATAGTTCTTTTAGAGCATATAGTGGTCAGTCTCATGAAACAGTTAATCTTGAGTAGGGATTTATGGAATTCTTCTGAAGTGATATTTGCATATATTTGCTGGATTAAGTTACTTAGTTTGATGTAGAAGTATGATAATGAGACTAACCTGCCAAGTTTAATTTTTACCCCTTGCAGGTCCCAGTGTGGATTATGTTCTGTTCTATGCTCTCCATTCTTAACATTGGCAGACCCACTTACTAATGATTCATATTGTTATCAGAGGTTTCAACTATGACTTGTGTCCATGCATAAGCAGTTCACCTCATCAGCTGCTGGGGAAAAAAAAAAAAAAAGAAAACAAAATATACATGTTCAAGACTTCAATGAGGTTTTCTTTTGACATGGAGAGTAAAATTAGACTCTTCATATTATCAAGTAATCCTTCTTATCTTGACCCCCCCCCCTTTTTAATTTGTTAGAGGGCACATATGTTCAGTGGAGAGAGAGAGAAAGGGAGGGAAGGGGAGAAAACACCTCTCACACATGAGGACTGGTCACGATGCGTCCCTTCTGTCCAGATTTTAGCCACACATGCACATGGACCTGTATGTTTTCAAGTTACCAATCTGGGACTCAAACTGCATAGTTTGCCATGTAGAATCCAGCTGCCTTACCATTACACCACTGGGTGGTTCTAATCCGAAACATTTTATTATGTACAGTTCTTTGGATTAGCTTCCATAATTTTTTGTCTTAAATTACCAGAGTGTGTGATAGAAGTAGAAGGATCCAGGAGAGGGAGAGAGTTACACCCCACCCTCATCCTGTCCCCAGTGGGGCGTGGCCACTCCACATTCCCTTTCCTCCATTTCTTCACTCTGTCAGGATTTGAGACATACATGCATGCATAAGTGGGGCATTTTTCAGACTGCCAGGGCTAGAATTCAAGCTGCAGTCAGTCTTGTGGGAGCTACAGCCCCCTCCTTTTTGTTCTTCAGACAAAGTCTTGCTATAGGGTGTGTGCACTTGTCCGATCTCCTCTCAAACAGTAGGCTATTAGGCCAGCCATAGACTTTTATTATTGCTTTTTTTTTTTTTTTTTTGAGAGGTTTTTGCTATAGGGCACATACACTCGCCAGAAAGACAGAGACGGAAAGCAAGAAATCACCCCCCAGGGAGGATGGCCACACTGCAGTCCCTTTTCCTTCATTCTCCTCTTGGGATCTTGGGCATGCACACACACACGCCCGTCATGAGTTTTAAGCCACTGGGTCTGGGACTCGAAGTGCGGTAGACTATATGGAAGTCCAGCCACATAGCCATTACACCAACTGCTGGTCCCGACTTCTAATGTTTTTGATGAAAAGGTTTTTAGTTATGTAATAACAGGTCAAAAGATAATTTTGAACATGATTATGGATTTATATTTTCACTGATGCATTACTGTTAACTGGAAAAGTTCACAAGTCATCTCTTTATCCAATAGCTTAAATTATATTTTTCAAACTGATGCCAAATGAAATAATCAGTGTGTGCAAGGCTAATGAGATGAGAAGACTAATTTAAGGAGGGTAAGCAGTTGTTTTGGGGTACATAGAGACATTGCTTGGTAATGCTGAATATGCATGTGATAAGTACAGTTCTCTGTGACAGTGTTCTTGGGGTGGGAGGCTTAATGGTCAAGTGGAGTTACTGTATTTAAGAAAGTGTTCTTGGAACATTTTCCAACAGTGAAATAAGTGAAAGGCAGGCATCGGAAAGGAAGGGAAAGATATCATATTCATGAACAGATAGGAAATTGACTCTAAAGTAGGCAAAGAAAGATGTGCCTTGGAGGGCTGTTTTTCAGTGACCTTTTCTTTAATCTTTACTTTTTAGGTGGGCTCCATTGTGGATGCTCAGATTTTTAAATTAAGTGTATCTCTATACTGCTTAATGTATGACAATAGGTTAGTAATCAAGTTGAACCATATTTTAACATCACTGTTTTTATGTTTGTTTAAGCTTATTTATTGAGCTTTAGTTTGCATCTTTTTTTTTCCCTTTTAAACTTTATATGTAAATCTACAACTTTTTTTATCAGATATAACTAATGGTTTGCTTGGAATTTACAGGGTCTGTTGGAATTTATTATGTTTATTAAAATATTTCTTTACAATGGTCCAAATATTTTTGTTTCTGTTTTAGAACAAAATCCAGTCCCATAGCAGAGGAGAATATAATGTTTACAGCACCTTCCAGAGCCATGAACCAGAGTTTGACTACTTGAAAAGTTTAGAAATAGAAGAAAAGATCAACAAAATTAGGTGGTTACCCCAGAAAAATGCTGCTCAATTTTTATTGTCTACCAACGGTAAGTATACATTTTTTCTTTTCATAGGCCTACTGTATGCATATGTCCTATAGAGGACACCATCCCTTTTTCAAAGCGGAATCTTTGTTAAAAGTGGGGTGCTGCAGGGCCAGCACGTGGCATGATGGTTAAGGCACTGGACTCCCACATGGCCTTCTGCTGTTTGAGTCCCAGACTCAGTGACTTGAAAATCATGCTGGGTACAAGCGCATGCGTGCCCAAAGTTCTGAGAGGAGACTGGAGGAGAAGGGATTGCTGTGTGGCCATCCTCCCAGAGGGATAACTTCTCACTTTCTCTCTCTCTCTGTCTGTCTTTGGTGGGCTCACACATCCTGTTGCAAAAAAATAAAAAAAACTACAGAGGACTTGGTTGAAGGGTGGTCTCCACTCCAGGATCCTAGAGAAGAGTACTCTTCTTACTTGAACCCCCATTGGCATGTTGCCTTCTCAGTAAGCCTCATGGCTGGAAGCAGGTTTTTATCATAATGTTTTACTTGCCTAGGAGGAGTTACTAATTAGGATTAACATTGTGTAATGACTCTAGACAGAATTTAAAGCCTATTAGGACAAGGTAATAGTTGGGTGATTGTAAATTGTTGCGATTTGGGGTCTTGGCTCTAAACAATATCATTGAAAGGATACCTTGGATTCTGGGTAGCTCTTAGTCCATAAGGATGTAGATCAAATCATTTTTGAGGCCAGCACAAGGATTGAGGGAAACCTCTCATTTTCTCATCCCTTCACTTATTAATAAAAAGCAAACTTCTGCCACCCAGACCTTACTATTTTTACCATTTGCAGAATGTAAACTCAGTTAACTTCTGGGATGATGTGATGAAAGATGCTGAGTGCCCCCCTTCATCAGGTTTATGCCTTGGATTGAGTGCTTCGAAACAAAGTCCACAAAATGATTCCACTCCCTTACACCATAAGTTTTTGCCTTCTCTCGGGCCAATAGTTTGTTGCTTGCTCTCGGGTTCTTTTTTTTTTTTTTTTTTTTTTTTTGAGAGGTTTTTGCTCTAGGGCCCATACGCTCGCTCGACAGACAGAGACAGAAAGCGAGAAATCACCCCCTGGGGGGATGGCCACGCTGCAATCCCTTCTCCTCCATTCCTCTCTCAGGATCTTGGGCACACATGCACTCACGCCCGGTGTGAGTTTAAGCCACCGGGTCTGGGACTTGAACCGTGGTTGACTATGTGGGAGTCTAGCGACATAGCCATTATGCTAACTGATGGTCCCTCTGGTGCTCATTTTTGTGAACTTCAAAGTTCTTTTCAACAAGCCTATTGAAATTTGTTTCCTCTACCTGCTCTTTCTTTTACATAAACTACATTCCTCTCTGTTCTCCCTATTAAAAGAAAATAAATCAAAATAACTATTTGACTCACAGCATCATAGGTGGAGGAACCATGTTTATTTCTGTCACTTGTTAATTTCTAATATGATTTCAGTTTTAACTTGCTGTAAGCTATATATAAATAATTATGCCTTTCATAAAATTTTTACTTTCAGAAGTAAATATCCCTAGGAAGTGTATTGTTATTTGTGTATTGGGATGTTTATTTCTAATAAGTATGGCAATTCATTTTCTACAGGCTAAGGGAATTTTTTTTTAAGGTTTTTCCCAAGGTTGCTTTCACTCACCAGAGAGAGACAATGAGCGGGAAAGTGAGAAACACCCCTCTCGAGCCCCATCCAGAATCACCACACTGCAATCTCTTCTCCATTCCCCTCCCTGAATTTTAGGCACACATGCACATGCACCTGGTGTGTTTCAAGCCTCTGGGTCTGAGTCTTGAACCACAGCTGACCATGTAGGATTCCAGCCCCCTTAACCACTATACTCCCTGCTGGCACCTAAGGGGATTTTTAAGAATGTAGACTGCAGTCGAATAATACAGTGAAGCCCCACACATTTCCCAGTTTCAGCAATTCTTAGTTCATGACCAGTTTATTTCTCAGGCAATTTTCCTTTCTCTCCTTCCCAGTGCTATTTGGAAACAACTTCCATTTCAGCTCCTGTATGGATTAAATCTTTTTAACTACCCATGAATTCTGTTTATGTCCATATACATCTTCCATGGAGACTTCCATGTGATCCTCTAGCAGCATATAATTACTACATGAACATTTCTAGACACTGAGCACTACAAAGGCTAAGTGGAAGGAAAGTGCACTAGTCATCCCAGTGACTGGACCAGGGGCTTGTGAATCTGTAGTTTTTATCTGCAAACAGAATCAATAGTGTTTACCGTGATTGTTCAATACATAAATTCATTAATTAATAATAAAATTATTTAAAGTTGCAGGGCCAGCAGGTGGCATGGTGGTTAAGACATTGGACTTCCACATGGCCAACTGCGGTTCAAGTCCCGGACCTGGCAACTTGCCGTCTCATTTTTCTCTCTCTCTCTGTCACTCTATCACGCACTGATGAGTGCACATGCCCTATAGCAAATTTTTAAATAATAATAATAATAAATGAAATTAAATACTTCTTTACCAAAGTAAAAAGTAAAGTTCCTGTAGAACGCATTGTAGATTTGTATCCTTATTTTTTTTTAACGAACACTAAATAAAAATGCATGTAAGTAATTTGGGACAACATTTTTCTGTGTGCTAGCAGTGGGGTCCAGTGAGCCAGCTGGTGGCGTGGTGATGAAGATTGCCAATCCCCTGCGGCCACCTGTGTGTGTGTTCGATGTCTTTATATTATTTTGTGTGGTCTTTTCTGTGAGACAGCATAACAGCATACACTCCTCTAGCCCCACACAATTGTAATGGGTCCTTATAAAAAGACTCGAAACTACTATTAGGGAAAAATGATGGAAAGTAGTACCAGACTTTCTCATTTTGATGAATCAGCATTAGTTTCATCATTACATTGGCTTTCTATAATCATTATAAACTCATATTTCCCAGAGTATAGTCAACTACCAATAATAACTTCAGTTCATTTCCTATTTAATTGTTTCTCTTTAATCATTTTTTCCCTTTCATGGATTCTTAAATCCTTCCCATTGCAAAAAGTTTCAAACGATTTAGCATGGATCTTTAATATATGAAAAGTACAAACTTCACTGGTAAATAGGTTGTGTTTTAACAAGCTTGTTGATAAGAGTATTTTGGGACTTCTATAAAGCTACTGCACTCCCACAGTAGAAACTCGGAAGCATGCTTGTCCGTGCTCCATCGTTTGTTTATGGTGAGAGGAACACAGGAGCATTTGGACTTCTTGTGCACTTCGATTATTAGTGCTGACAGTTTAGGAAAAGTTGTTTTGGAAGGAACAATCTTGTTTAAAGTCTAACAATCGCCTCCACAGAAAAATTATTAGGTTGTTGGGAAAATCATGACATGTATTTCAGTGTTTTTCTATGCAACAATTTCCTATGGGCCCGAAGCTCTAAGTTTAAAAATAAAAAAAAAAAAAAATTAAAAAAGCACTACTATAAAGCATAAGGATTTTTGCCTTTTTAAAAATTTTGTCATATTTATTAAAATATTTATTTTCTGTTCCAAAGCACTGCACTGAAATCATGTATTCTATTCTGTCAATAATTTTTGTGTCCTATATGTATTAATGCTTTTTTTGGGGAGAGGTTTTTGTTATACGGCCTGTGAACTTGCCAGATAGAGATAGAGAGACAGAAAGCAACAAATCACCCCCCAGGGGGGGATAGCTACACCGCAATCTCTTCTCCTCCAATCTCCTCTTGGGATCTTGGGCACGCATGCACATGTGCCCAGCGTGAGTTTAAGCCACTGGGTCTGGGATTCGAACCGTGGTCAACTACATGGGAGTCCAGCAACACAGTCATCTGCTGGTTCCTGCATTTGAAATTTTTTGAACTTCTTAAAGTCATAGATTTTTATCACATTAGTTTGTTTTATGTTTTGAAAATCTACCCACTTTTTAGAGTTTTTTTTTTTAAAAAAAAAACCTTTTAAGTTTAACACTATTAGGAAGCATTGTCTCATATAATATTTTCGTACACATATTATGATTTCTTTTTAGTTTTCTAAAAGGGCACATGCTTGTCAGAGAGAGAAAAAGAAAAATGAGAAGAGGTGATGGCCACACCTCAGTCTCTTTTTCTCCATTTTCCTCTTGGGTTTTGGGGTGCACACACACACATATGCCCAGCATGATTTTCAAGCCTCCAGGTCTGGAACATGAACTGTGTAGTCAACCATGTGGTAGCCAAGCCTGCGCCTTATCCTGCATGCCACCTGCTGGCTCTTGTATTGTGATTTCTTTATCTGGATCTTTTTTTTTCTTCTCTCTCTTCATTTATGATAGTGTGTGTGTCACCACATAAGAGAAAGGAGAATATCTTTCACGGGACCTGGTCACGCTGTGATCCCCTCCCTTCTGATTTCCAACTGTCAGATCTTGGGCACTGGCTTGCACCACCAGCATGTTTTAGGTAGACTGGCCAGGGATTTGAACTACTGTGTCGCCGTGGGCGATCTGGTGTCTCTTGAGCAGCACACTACTGCTGTGCCACAGAGCCAACCCTGACCGAATATTTAATAAGGATGGTGAATTTAAATAGGACATGGAACAGCTGGGCAGGGGCGGCAGGGGGCAGTTGTGATCCTCTCATTCCTTGACGGTGATTTTTACAACAGTGATCCACTTCTCCCCATAATGTAGAATTAAAGGTAGGCTTATGTGAGGGGACTTGAAAAAGTTCATAGAAAAATGAAATTAAGGGGTTTTTTGTTCAGAAAATTTCTAAGTACGTGCATAGTTTTTTTTTTTTTTAATGTTTTGACCACTCTTCGTATGCCTCTCTCTATATAAATTACCTAAGTATATGTAAGCTATATAGCACATAGAAAACACACACAACTCAGCCCCAAGACAGTTATGAACTCTTCTATAGTGTGTAGAGGAAATCATGGATTGTGCAGTTTAGGAAAGTTGTCAGTTTTGCTCTCCTTTACACTTCACCTTTGAGAAGGGCTTCCACGCAGATAGCTCTCATCTTTTTATATAAGACAGATTATCAGGCTACAGGGTCACTGGTATCTTTCTCTGTTATTTTGAGCTGCTTTTCTTTTCTTTCTTTTTTTTTTAAACATTTATTTAATTCCATTTGTTATTATTTTAAAAAAAATTTTTGGTGAGATTTTTGCTATAGGGCATGTGTACTCGCCGGAAAGACAGAGGGACAGAGAGACAGAAAGTGAGAAATTGGGACCAGCAGATGGCATGGTGGTTAAGGCACTGTACACTCCCACATGGCTGACCACGGTTCAAGTCCCGGACTTGGTGGCTTCCTTTCTCACTTTCCCTCTCTCTCTGTGTCTCTCTCTCTCTGGTCAAAGTAAAATAAGTGAAGGAATAAATAAAATTAAAATGAAAATTAAAAAAAAAAAGTGAGAAATCACCCCCGGGGAGATGGCCACACCTCAGTCCCCACTCCTCCCTTCTCCTCTCGGGATCTTGGGAACGCACGCACATGCCCCAGGTGTGAGTTTAAGCCACCGGGTCTGGGACTTGAACTGCAGTCCACTACATGGGAGTCCAGCAACATAGCCATTATGCCAACTGCTGGTCCTCCATGTTGCTGTTATTTTTAAAATTTGACCAGAGAGAGGGAAAGGGAAAGCGGGAAAGCAAGCTGCCAGTCCAGGACTCAACCACAGTCAGCCAAGTGGGAATCAAGCCCCTTTAACCACACCACCACCTGCTGGCCCCATTGAACTATTTTTCTTTTATAAAATGACTTTATACACTATTAATTAAAATTTTATTGTGCCCATTTGCTTATGAAAGATCATTAGGAGTGTGAAGCATGCTTTAAAAAGAATGCTATTTTAGGATTGTCACACAAAATATAAATAATGATAAAAATAAGTAAGGAGAAGGGATACTTCTTGCAGGAGAATTATAAATTATATGTAGGTAGATAATCTCTGCAGGGAATGTAATTTAATTATAAGTGCAAGCAGGACTTAGTGACTCACTGCTAAGGAACAGAATATGGCAAGAGAGAAATGGTAACTGTACAGTGGGAGAACAAAGCAGATGCTTCCATAACCAGGTGACCAACTTAACACCACCAATGACAGGTCATGTTTATACCGTGTCTCCCTCAAATGATACAGTGAGAAGTCATATCACCTCTTAAAAACCCACAAAGCCAGCCTGATCATGAGAAAATAATAGCAAGCCCATTTGAGAGACATTTAGCAGAATATCTGACCACGGTTACTCAAAACTATTCAGATCACGAAAAATAAGGAAAATCTAAGAGACTGTTCAGGTTGGAAAGACTAAAGAAACTTGATGACTAAATGAAGTGATGTTTGGATCCTGACTAGAAAGGGGATGGTAGTGGAAAACCTGGTAAAATCTGAGTAAAGTTTAAAGTTTAGTTAATAGTGATACATAGGGTTAATTTATTAGTTTTGACAAATGTACCATGGTCCGTCCCCTAAGATATTAAAGGAACTGCGTGAAGGGTATATATGAGAACATTGTAGTGTCTTTGCAACTTCTCTATAAACCTAAACTTAATTCTAAAATAAAAGTTTAATTTTTTTTTTTTAAGAGAGATTTTTGCCATAGGGGTGTGTATGCTCACTGGAGAGACAGAAAAAGACTGAAAGCAAGAAGTCACCGTGCCAGGGGGGATGACCGCACTGCAGTCCCTTCTCTGTTTTCCTCTTGGGATTTTGGGCACACACGCACACACATCTACCTAGTATGAGTTTCAGGCCACTATCTAGATCAAGGACTTCGACTGTGGCTTACTATGTGGGAGTAGTAACCACTATGCTACCTGTTGGCTCCAAGAGGTTAATTTTTTAAAAGATTCTAGTTTAGAGTCAGCTGGTGGTAAAGATACTGGACCCCACATGGCTGACTTTGTGGTTTGAGTCCCAGACCCGATGGCTTGAGAAACACACCAGGACGTGTGTATGTGTGCCCCAAAACCCGAGAGGAGAATAGAGGTGAAGGGATTGTGGTATGGCCCTCTCCCCTGGGGATTGATTTCTTAACATTCTTTGATGAGTGCACTTGCTCTATGGCAAAAATCTTAAAAAAGAAAAGGTGCTTTTTTATTTATAATAGATCCCTAGCAGTTTTGTTTTCTTGAAGGACATGGAGACATATGCTTTTACAGTTAATGTTTTCAGGCCCCATTTTCAACCTGTGAATCTTTGGTGCCAAAATTAAAAAGACAGAGTTAACAGAGACATCAAGTCCTAAAAAAGAATCTGGAGTCTCTGATAGGATCTGCTAAGGAATGGGACCAAGGAGAAGACATTTTGATATTTTGATTCTTTTTTTTTTTTTTTTGAGAGGTTTTCGCCATAGGGCGTGTGCACTCACCAGACAAACAGAGAGAGACATAGAGACAGAAGGCGAGAAATTCCCCGCCAGGGGCTATGGTCATGCCGCAATCCCTTCTCCTCCATTCTCCTCTCGGGATCTTGGGCACACACGCCCGGAGTGAGTTTTAAGCCACCGGGTCCGGGACGCGAACCACGGTCGATTATGTGGGAGTCCAGCGACATAGCCATTACGCTAACTGCTGGTTCCCCCATTTTGATTCTAAATAGTAGTTAGGCTAACTTTATTATTTTATTTTTAATTCTATTCTAAATATTTCATTATTTTAAAATAGTCCTTGGAATTGTTTTAGGTGAAATATGAAATGACATGTTCAGAATACCTTGAAGTATTTTTGTTTTTCCAGTATTACTACCACTACCACCCTCGCTCTTTTTTGATTGGTTATTTTTTTTTTTTTGAGGACTTTCTTTACTCTCTCCCTAGATAAGACAATAAAATTATGGAAAATTAGTGAAAGAGACAAAAGACCAGAAGGATATAATTTGAAAGAGGAAGATGGAAGGTATAGAGATCCTACCACGGTTACGACACTACGAGTAAGTACATAAGAAAACAAAGTTCTAATTGTAGTGGATAGTGTTCTTACTGGGGGAGGCATGTATATGTATCATATTCATATCATTAGCCCAGATCCTCAGCAGAACTTGAATAGTGGTGATTACAACTCCCCACCACAACAATTCTGCAATCATATACTCATGGAGTAATTACCATTTAAATATACAAAATGACCTACATGGAGGTTTCACTGTTGTGAGGAGCAGAACCAGGGAAAAAGGCTTTCACTGTGCCATGCAGTCTGCTCTTTGGTTGGAATGTTAGCTGTGACAAGACTTTAAGTTCCGAGGTTAGTTTTCTTCAGAGATCAAATATGTTGAAATGGGCCAAATCTTCTACCTGTAGCTTAAAAATACCAAGAATTAGATTCTATGAGTTAATTTCCTTTTTAGATTCTATAATTTGAACGATAGACACTTACTAGCTTCATATATCTTTCATGCAAAACATTACAAGTAAGAAGAACTGAAAATTATTAGTATTGCTACCAGTAAGAGAAGTGTAATTGTCCAGATTATTCATTTTTCTTCCCATTTCAGTACTTGGAAGGATGATTATCAGTTGCTTTTTAAAACTAAATCTGTGTAATATTTTACCGTTTATGTGCCTCAAAAATTAGAAAAATCGAGTTTACTGAACCGTAACTGCTTATTTGAAACACTAATAAGCCTTTTGTTATTTTTGTTTTTCATGTCTTACTGACAGGTGCCAGTCTTCAGGCCTATGGATCTGATGGTTGAGGCCAGTCCACGAAGAATATTTGCCAATGCTCATACATATCACATCAATTCAATTTCTATTAATAGTGATTATGAAACATATTTATCTGCAGATGATTTGCGGATTAATCTTTGGCATCTGGAAATTACGGACAGGAGTTTTAGTATCCATTTGGTTTCCATTTTTGGTGTTTGGTAATGATAGCATGTTTCACTCTTCCTCTCTTTTTTAACTTTTTATTTTTTTAATTTTAAAGGTTTTTGTAATAGGGTATGTGCGCTCCCTGGAGAGACAGAGAAAGGGAAAGTGAAAAATCACCTTCCAGGGGACATAGCCGTTCTGTAATCCCTTCTCCTCCAATCTTTGGGATTTTAGGCATACACCCACATGCTCCTGGCTTGATTTTCAAGCTGCTGGGTCCAGGACTCAAAACAATGGTCAGCTATATGGGAGAGCAGCACCTTAACCATGCCACCTGGTGGCCTCACTACTGATTCTTTTTTAAATTGATACAGCGTCGTCTTTTTTCCTTTCTTTGTCTATGAGTGATGAAAACTAGGATAAAGTTGACTTGGTAGAGATAAAGGGCTTTAATTTATTGATTAAAAAATTTAGTTCATAGAATTTTAAGGGGTTTATTTATTGTATTTACAAAAATAGGGATTTACTCACGTGCTTGCCAGAAAAAGAGGGGGGAGAGAGGGATATGAAGGGGCAGTAAGAAAGGACCAACCGTCTCATGGGTCATGGTCATACCACAGTCCCTTCTCTTCCATTCCTCCCTTCCTCTAGGATTTTGGACAGGCAAAAGTACATGTGCTCAACGTGTTTCTCAAGTCACTAGGTCTGGAGCTTAAGCCACACAATTGGCTTTGTGGGATCCAGCCACCTTAACCACCACATCATGGACTGGCCCTCAGTTTTTATTATTAAAAAATCATTCTTCAGTCAGCTGAGTGGCATGGTGATTAAGACTACTGAATCCTAACAGGGTCAGCTGTGCAGTTCAAGTCCCAAATCTGGTGACTAGAAAAGCATGCCAGATGCAAGCATATGTGTGTGTGTGTGTGTGTGTGCCCAAAATCCCAAGAGGAGAATAGAAGAGAAGGTATTGTGGCCATCCCTCTTTGGGGGTATCGGGGTGATTTTTTACTTTGGTCCTCTCTCTCTGTCTCTGGTGAGCACATATATAGAAAAAAAATCCAACCAGCAGTTAGCATAATGGCTATGTCGCTGGACTCCCATGTCGTCGACCGCGGTTCAAGTTCTGGACCCGGTGGCTTAAAACTCACGCCGGGCATGTGTGCGTGCGTGCCCAAGATCCTGAGAGGAGAATGGAGGAGAAGGGATTGCGGCATGACCATCCCCCCTGGGGGGGTGATTTCTCTCTTTCTGTCTCTCTGTCTCTGTCTGTCTGTCTGTCTGGCAAGCGCACGCGCCCCATAGCAAAAATCTCTCAAGAAAAAAAGAAAAAACATATTTATCTTATTAAGGTTGGGAAAAAATTTATGTAATTTATGGCAGGATGGCAGGAAGTCTATAGAGGGCCAACAGGTGATAGGGAGATTGAAGTGGTTGCATCTCACATGGTCTTTCTGTGTAGTTTAAGTCCTGCACTGGGTAGCTTCAAAAATATGCCTGGCATATGTGCTTACCCAAAATCCTTAGAGGAGAAAGAAATGCAGTGTGACCATCCCTCGGGGGCATGATTTCTCACTTGTCCTCTATGCCTCTCTCTGTCTCTCCAAGTGAGTTTGTGTTCCCTGTGGCAAAAACCTAAAAAAAAGAATAAGTAAATAAAGATCAGTCAATATGAAATACTTCTCTAGACCCTGTATTATTTATATTATTCTGAAATTTTTCTGTGTATATTAAGTGTGATCAATAGACATGTATAGCTGTGTGCTTGCACATAATATACATAGGAAATGTATATAAAAATTTTTGAGAGGTTTTTTGCTATAGAGCATGTGTGCTCACCAAAGAGAGAAAGTGAGAAATCCCCCTTCCCCCTGTGGGGGTATGGCCATGCCACAGTCCCTTTTTCGCTCTCAGGGTTTTGGGCACACATGCACATGTGTCCAGCATGAGTTTCAAGCCACTGGGTCCCAGACTCTAACTGTAGTCGACTATGTGGGAGTCTAGCACCACAACTACTACGCCACCTGCTGACCTCTGTAATTGTTTTTGTTTTTTTTTAATTTAATATTATTTATTTATTGTTGTTATTATTTTAGTTTACCAGAAAGAGAGAAAATGAGAGAGCAAGCTACCAGGTCTGGGACTCGAACTGTGGTCTGCCATATAGGAGTCGAGAACCTTAACCACTGCGCCATCTGCTGGCTGCGGTATATTTAGGTTCTTGATATATGTTAATAGCCGTAGCTACTGTTAACGTACAATACATATTTTCTAAATAAATAGAATTAATAAACTTTACCCTAATTTATATGGTACTAACAGTGTTTATGAGGCTGTTCCCTTTTTTTCCCCCAGTCTAGTTAGTAAAAAAGTTCTCTTTTGTTTTGATATGTTTCTTTCATTGTGAATAGATGTGAGATTTTTTTCATGTTCATCAACCATACACATATGTACTTTGTGTTCTTTAAATTATTTTCACTGGACCTGCTTTTTTTTTTTTTTTTTAAGAGTGATTTTTACTATAGGGAGTGTGCACTCAACGGGAGAAACTGGAAGCAAGAAATCACCCCCCGGGGGGATGGACATGCCCAATCCCTTCTCCTCCATTCTCCTCTAGGGATTTTGGGTATGCATACATACACACTTGGCATGAGTTTGAAACCGCCAGGTCCAGGACTTGACCTGTAGTTAACTACTTGGGTGTCCAGCAACATTACCATTATGCCATCTGCTGAGCCCTTATTTATTGATTGATTGATTGAGAGGTTGAGAGGTTTTTGCTATAGGGCGTGTGCACTCGCCAGAGAGACAGAGAGAGACACAGGTAGACCCCCCACCCCGGGGGGGGGGTATCGCCATGCTGCAGTCCCTTCTCCTCCATTCTTCTCTCAGGATCTTGGGCACACACACACACACACACACACACACGCCCGGCCTTATTTATTATTTTTTTGGAGTTATTTTCTTTGTGTTACATAAATTAAATTTGTATTATACTTGGAAAGACCTAAGTTCTAAAATGATTTGAAATGTGACTGTGTTTGTGACAAAGGTTGTTTGTGTGTTCCACTTATAATGAAAGTTTTAACCCCTGTAAGATTTATAATATTCCTAAAAATAGTAAAATATAATCAGAATGAATATTTGTGCCTAGCCTGTGGGCAGATTTTCAATTTGAGAGATGTAGATTTTATTTACCTTTTTTAAAAGTGGAAATTCCTTAATAAAATGCTATCCAGATATTGTGGATATCAAGCCTGCCAATATGGAAGAGCTAACAGAAGTAATCACAGCAGCAGAATTCCATCCAAACAGCTGTAACACATTTGTATACAGCAGCAGTAAAGGAACTATCCGGTTATGTGACATGAGGGCATCTGCCCTCTGCGATAGGCATTCAAAATGTAAGTGCATTCATCTTTCTTTAAAACGTTTCTATTTGAAACCACCCTCACTCATGATAACTACACGTGTGTAGGTTTACAAATCTTTAATCTGTGTGCCCAGGACCTCTTATATACTTCGGTAAACTGCTTAATTCCACATGAGGTATATTACAGGTTAATACCACTGGAAGAACATAGTAAGGCTCTCGGGACATGCCTGTTGATTCCCAATGAACATATTTTTAGTGCAATGCTATTCTTTGGGAACTTGTGGTTGGGCTCTCTGATTTTGTGTTCAAGTGGAGTAGATAGTTTCTTTTCCTCTCTGTTTTGAGTTTCCTAGGAAGATTTCTTCTGAGAAGAGGTTTCCCCCTTGGCTTATTTTTTTAAAGTCTAAAATCACACTGTTAAAATCTTAAGGGGTTGCAATGTTTTTGCGTTTATTGAGTTGAATATTTTTAAAACCTGTGAAATTGGTATGTGACTGTTTCAAAAGTAATTTTTACATGGCCGCTAGAACATAAAATTCTGGCATGAATTGGATGGGTGAGGTTGGTGTTCTTCTCATTTATGACAGGGGCAAAGTCATGAGATACCGTATGTTGCTGAATACACCACCCGGGTGCTCTGAAGTTAGAGAAGTCCCCAGTGATTTGGTCCCGCTATAATAGCTGTGTGACTCTGGAAGTATATTACATGCTTTTGCATCTTCAACCTCAGTAGTATGTCTCTCTTAAGGAACTCAGGGGAATTACTACAGCCAGAGAGATCTTTTTCGGTTCTTTATTAGTCTGTCATTATACTCAACTGTAGGAAGTTCAAGTGGTTGTTTTGGGAAATGCTTCCTCAAAGCCAGAACATTGTACACCTTGCCCTTTTTCTCCCCCACTTGTTTTTAGTGTTTGAAGAACCTGAAGATCCCAGTAACAGGTCGTTTTTTTCCGAAATCATCTCTTCTATTTCTGATGTAAAATTCAGCCATAGTGGTCGATATATGATGACTAGAGACTATTTGTCAGTCAAAATCTGGGACTTAAATATGGAAAACAGGCCTGTGGAAACATACCAGGTATTTGCAGTTTTTTCTTTCAATTGAGTGTACCTTCTTTACTTTTCAAGTGTTATAGAGAAGGACTTTGTACTAGGTGTTAACCCCAACATAGTGTTTGTTCACCATTAGGCTTTTTTCCTCAGAAATCTATGAATATCTTGGTTTTTCTTATGTTACATGTTTTATGTTTTCATAGGTTGTGGTGTCTTTTCAGTTTTGCAGTTCAAGTTTGATTTTGGTACTAATTTTGTTCAGTAGTGATAATTTTTTTTTCCTGCTGTTCTGTACATTTGAAAGGAGGGAAGAACACTCACCATTAAAATCTAGTCAGGAAGAGGAGTGGGGAGAATGGCCAGTCCTAGTAGAGGTGTAATACTCCTGTTAGAGTCTATCCAGTAGTAGTTGGACTAGAGCTTAAATTTGACATGCTGGGTCAAACAGACTGGTGGTATTCTGCTCTTTGACTAATAGCCATTGTCTTAAACTAAAGGAGAAGGGCTTGAACGCTCAATAGATGGCTTTAGAACTTCTCTGTCCACTTTAGGATGTTGGTTCCAGATTCTCTCGTCAGCTAGCCACTACCATTGATTCGTGTCCACTACATCAGTGATAGAAAAGAGAAGAAATGCTCAGCCTGGAGGGCCAGCATGAACCTATGATAGAACCTGGATTACAGTGTGGAAAGCAACATAACACTGCTTTAAGAATACAGAATCATGACCTAGTAGGTTAAGGGAGCTGGATCCTACATGGCCAACCACAGTTTGAGTGACAGCCCAGCAGCTTGTAAATACACTGAGTGCATATGCATATGTGTCCCGAATCCCAACAGGATGAAAAAATGGAGAAGGGATTGCAGGGCAACCATGTCTCATTTGGGGTGCTCTCTCCCTCTGTCTCTGGTAAGCACATGCTTGGTAATTAAAAAGAAAAGGGGTAACAGAATTTATAAATGGTACCTTTATTTTATATATAATCAATAAAATTAGAATGATTCTTTATAAAGTATTTAATTCGTTTGACAAATGTAGAGAGAGAGTAAAGTCATATCATGTCATATGTAAATATAGCTTAGATATATTCAGCTATTTCTGTGGAATCCAGATAACCACTTGGCTGACTTGTATTATGATTAAAGGATATTTTTCATTTCACTGATTCTTTTTTTTTTTTTTTTTTTTAAAGAATTATTTATTCAGTTTTATTTTGCCGCCAGGTCCAAAACTTGAACCGTGGTGGTCGGCCATGTGGGAGTTCAACACCCTTCACCACCACGCCACCTGCCCGGCCCTTTTTTTTTTTTTGTACCTACATGTACACTATTGATCCTCCTCCCATGGGGATTGCAGTTCCTCTGCATTAAGAATTTTCATTGTTGTTATGTAGACATGGCCTGACTATATGTTTAAAATTAGTTTAGGTTGTTTCATAAAGACTGGAGAATCCCAAGGATGTAGACAGTGCCTACTCATTTCTGAAATTATTTTTATTTAAAGTTCCTTCAGTAAAAAAAAGATAATGAGACAACCATTCTCCTTTTTTCTCCCTCTGATCATGAGAAATAACTGTAAACTTCTTTGTAATTGAACAGTATTACTGTTGAAATGTATCATGTTTCTCAGAGCCCCTTTTAAATGCCAGGGTTTTTTTATTTTCTAGTTTATCCTTTTGTAAAATATTAGGAAATACAGGATTGTAATACAAAAAGCATGTTTGTTTTTTGATAACTTTTGACATTTAAGTAATATAAAGTGATGTTATCAGATTTTTAAATGGTGCATGCCTCAGGTACCCATATAATTTGTCACCAAACCAGGGCCTGGTCATGCTCTGCATAATATATGTCTTTCTTTGAAAATATAAGACATTTATGTACAGAAAATGGTATTTGAAAAGGAACTAAGCACATTATTCAGTGTTTTTATCAGCAGTTAATGAACTGAAAACCAAGTAACGATTCTTAAATATGGCTACAATGGTATTTTATTGGTTTCTTATTTCTGCCATTTTGAAATATTTTCTGGCCTAAATTTTTCAGTCAGGCTTATAAAGAGTACATAGGCCAGGACCAGCAGGTGGCATAATGGTTACGTTGCTGGACTCCCACATGGCCAAACCCAGACCTGGTGGCTTCACACTCGTGCCAGGAACGTGTGTGTACATGCCCGAAATCCCAGGAGGAGAATGGAAGAGAAGGAATTACAGTATTGCCATTCCTCCTGGGGAGTGATTTCTGACTTTCTGTCTCTTTATCTCTCACTGTCTCCTTGGTAAGTGCATGCATCCAGAGAGGCAGAGAGATTTTGCTGTAGCAAAAATCTCTCTTAAAAACACACACACACACAAAGGAGCATATAGGCCATGCCTTAAAAGGAGTTTTTCTCTGTTGTACAGTAGGAAAATAACAGCTCCCAGAAAAGGAACCTTTACTTGTTTTACCATGAAAGAGTATAAAAAGCCTTTATTATCAGAGGATAATAAAGATAAGAGTATTGAGATTTAATAAAGTTAAGAGATGCATATATGTGTCATATATGTTGTTTTAACTTATTAATTTTTTTAATGATAATAGACTTGCTAAGTCAATTAAGTCAACTAATTGCAGTGGCTAGAGCTTGAGGTAAACTAAAAATATAGGTAATGCTTTTGTTTTCCCCCAGGTGCATGAATACCTCAGAAGTAAACTTTGTTCACTGTATGAAAACGATTGCATTTTTGACAAATTTGAATGTTGTTGGAATGGATCTGACAGGTAATTGGTTTTAATTAAAAATTCTCATTCAAATATGAATATTTTATTTTTTCTGTCTTTTTAAAAAATTTTCTCTAGGGCATGTGTGCTTCTTGAAGAGAGAGAGAGTGGGGGAAGAAGCAAGTGCCCCCTTTTCCCCAGAGAAGATGGTCATACTGTAGTCTCTTCTGTTTTCTTCTTGGGATTTTGGGCATTTACACACATTAATCTTCCATGTTTTTCCATTCCCCAGTCTTTGATCTCAAACCACACAGTTGGTCTTGTGGGGTGCAGCTGCCTTAACCACACACCAGCTGCTGCCTCAGACATGAATTTTATTAATGAAAGAAATTTTAGTATTTCGTTTCTCCTGGTATAGTTGCCACATTTACTGAAAATAAATTACAAGCCCTTACCTTCATTCTTTCCAAAGTATTCCTTGAAATAAATTGAATAATCTTAAATAAAGCATAGTAACACTGGCAGTTAAAAATTAATAAATGCTGTGGGCCAGAAGGTGGTGTGGTAGGTAGTTCAGGTGGTAGACTCCCACATTGCTGACCACAGATCTAGTCCCAGACTCAACAGCTTAAAAATCATGCCAAGCATGTATGTGTGTGTGCCCAAAATCCCGAAGGAGAACTGGAGGAGGAAGGATTGCAGCATGGCTGTCCTCCCCGAGGGAGGGGTGCGGGCAATTTCTCACTTTTTCTCTCTCTGGCAAGCACAGGCTCCCTATGGTGAAAACAAAGAAACAAGCCAGGGGGGAAAAAAAATTGTGTCTCATTAGTAAATCAAAGTATACAAAGAATTCTATATATCTGCATTATTATTTAAACATCAAATTTTTGCCTTTTATGAACCAGGGTAAATCACATTTTTTAAAGAAGAATTTAATTTTATTTATTATTATTATTTTAAATTTGCTTTAGGGTACATATGCCAGAGAGAGGCAGAAAAGAAAGAGAGAAAGCAAACCACCAGGCAGGTCTGGTGCTCAAACTGTGGTTGGCCGTGTAAGAGTCTTAACACCTTAATCACCATGCCACCTGCAGGCCTTGATAAATTACATTTCTAACTGGCCAACAGGTAAAAATAGTGCAAATTCAGCTTGGCTAAATCATTTTTAGGTTTAGGCAGTTGGGACAGCCCCATGATGTCATAGTTGAGGCAGCTGGGTCCCATACGGCTTACAGCACAGTTTGAGTCCCAGACCCTGGTAGGTTGAGAAACACTCAAGGCACATGTGTACGCATGCCCATTAATGAAGAAGAGAGGGCCAGCAGGTTGCGTGGTGGTTAAGGCACTGGACACTTCCATATGGACGACTGCAGTTCCAGTCCCAGACTTGGTGGCTTGCTTTCTCACTTTCCTTCTCTCTGTGTATCTGTCTTTCTCTGGTCAAATGAAAATTATGGAATGAATAAATAAAATTAAATTAATAATTCTTTTTTTAAAAAAAGAACATAATTAAAGAAAAAGGAGCTATTTATATACTAGAGTATGGGATATTGCAACTGGTTCTTTCTCATATTCCTTAAGGCATATTATTAGCTGTTTTAAGTTACTTATTATCAGAAGGAAACTATTAGTTTCCCTCAACACTGAGAAAGTTTTTTGCAGGCCAGCAGGTATTGTGGAGGTAAAGATGGCTGTTTCTCACATGGCCAACTGTATAGTTCAAGTCTTAGACCTGGTGACCTGAAAAACATACTGGGCACATGTGTATGCATGTCCAAAATCTAGAGAAAAGAATGGGAGAGAGGGGAAGTCACAGATCCAGTGGCTTGAATTCGTGCTGGGGTGCATGTGCCTGCCCAAAATCTCAAGAGAAGACTAAAGGAGAAGGGACTGTGGCATGCCCTCCCCACCCTACCTCCACCTCCCTGGGTACCTCCCCCCGAATCTCTTCCAGCCAGCTCATATGCTCTATAGCAAAAAAATGAAAATTAAATTTTAAAAAGATTTTTGAATAATTTTAAACTTAGAGAAAATAATTTTAAACTTGAATAAAATTTTTAAACTTTCATAAATATAACACAGAAAAGCTCATTAAGCCTTTATTCTGCCTCCCCTTTCGCTATTTGCTATATCATGCTTACTTCTGTTTATAGCTGTATCCATCTGTGTAAGTATATATATGCTCACACATGTTGTTCCTTTTGTACTAATTAGGACTAAACTCCAAATAAGTTCATCACCCTCATAAATTCTTTAATGAATATTTGCTAAAGGACAAAACCACTCTCCTCCATAGTGGCAATGTAAGCATCTGAAGCCGAAAAGTCTTATACTGATGGAATATTGCCATGTACCCTACAGATCCCATTACAATTTCACCAGTTATTTAGTCATATCCTCTATGGCAGGGGAAAAAGTCTAGTTCAGTATCCAATTCAAGATTTTACTGAATTGTCAGGAAAGTTGTGATGCATTTTTGCATAGAAAAACAGAAAAATACGTTACAATTTTTGTGATAGCCCAATACATTACATTTAGTTATTATACGTCATTAATCTTCATTCTGGTATAGTTATTCATTCTTTCTTTTCCTTGCCTTTTATGACCATGGCATTATGAAAAGCATGAGCTATTGGGTTGTTGGGAAAGTTGGTGATGCATTTTTACATAGAAAAATGGGAAAATATGTCATGATTTTTCTGACAACTCAGTGGCTTATATTGTGGCTTACAGTTTTGCCTGGTGTTTCCTCATGATTAGGTTTAGGTTGTAAATTTTTGGCAGGAATACTACAGAAATATTGGCCTGGTGATGTCTTTTTTTTTTTTTTTTTTTTTTTTGCCATAGAATGCATCCTCTCACCAGAGAGAGAACATGAGAAATCACCCCTAGGGTGCAGCCCCTTCTCCAGTTTTATTCTTGGGCCTTTTGGGCATGCACACAATATCATCCAGTGTGATTTTTTTCAAACCAGTGTGTGCAGGAATCTAGCTCATTAACCACTATACGACCAGCCAGCATCAGTGACATCTTTTAAAAGATTGAAATATCCAAATACCAACTTCTAACTTATTAAAACCTCACAATTTTAAAAATATTTATTTATTTAATTCCACTTGTTATCATTATTATTTTTCAATTTGATGAGAGAGAGAGAAAAAGAGAAAGAGAAAGTGAGAAAGCAAGCCCCCACATCCAGGACTCGAACCATGGTTAGACATGTGGGAATCCAGCCCTCTTAATAAGCCTGTATATATAATATTCCTCTGCTGAGTTTGCTTTAAGCATTACTTTAAACAGTCTCCTAATACTCTTATCTCATTTGCAATAATAATTTCCACATGTAGAAAGGAGATAGTAAGTAGTAATAGCATGGGAACTTCAAACTTGTGCCACTTTTGCTTAGTATATGTAGACAATGTTGAGAAGTGCTAGATGGCAAGAAAACCGACAGCTTGGGCAGGCTAAGAATTTGGCACCCCTTTGAACTAATACTTTATTTCTCCCATGAGCAAGAGAGACAGGTTGAGAGAAAGACAAAGACAGGGTCTGTGGTGCAACCCACCCTCAGATCAGCCAGCTCCAGGTCATGGATACGCATGTTCCTGATAACACTCAGGGACCTGAACCCAGAACCTTCCCATGTGGGTCAACCTCACAAAGCATCACATTTTACTGCTGTACTACTGTACAGTACATCCCCCATCCCCAGGTTTTTAAAATATTTGCTTAAAATGTTTTCAGTGGTACAGGTAAAATAAACACATACACTAACTACTTTCTTAATATTCTCAGGACCAGATTTATCAATAAGCATTCCTAATACACAGTTATTGGAACCAGATTGTGCTCTGAGGACCAGTTAAGTAGTTCATAATTTAAATCATAAAATGGAGCAGTGATCTCCTACCTTTTTTTTTTTTTTTTTTTTTTTTTGGGGGGGGTGGGTCCCCCGGGCCGCCTTGGAATTAAAACCCCCCTTTTTTTTTTTTTTTTTTTTTTTTTTTTTGGTGGGGGATGGGTCGCAGTCTTAGAAGCTGAGCTCCACGGATAGTTGATTCTTAAGAAGGTGGCTTGCTGGGACCAGCAGATGCCATAGTCGTTTATGTTGCTGGACTCCCTCGTCATTGACCATGGTGTTTATTCGTTCATGTGTTTTAATTTGACTAGAGAGAGACACACACACACACACAGAAGGAAAGTAAGAAAGTAAGCCATCAGATCCAGGACTTGAACTATGGTCAGCCATGTGGGAGTGTCCAGTGCCTTACCCACCATGCCACCTGATGGTCCCAAAAAAATCTCTTAAAAAAAAAAAAGGTGGCTTGCCTTGTTGACTATGTATCTTGTAGTTTCAAAAAAATACTCAACAAAGACAATTCAATACTACTCAGAAGTTTTAGTTGAGTAGGCTATTAACCTTAATGATAGCTTTGGTCATCGTGAACAGGAATAATTGGTAGAAAGCCAAGTTAATTAGTACTGTATTTATGGTTTATTCAAGTGAGTAGGTTGATATCGACAACCCTGTTCCTTCATTCAATTCTGCCTGAAGTAGCGGAGTACAGTTGGGATTAATCACTGAATCGTTTGACCAAAAGCACACTCTTACTTGTCTAACTGAGTGTTCTGTGTACTTTTACAGTGTTGTCATGACTGGATCTTACAATAATTTCTTCAGAATGTTTGACAGGAATACAAAGCGAGACATAACCCTAGAAGCATCACGGGAAAACAATAAGCCTCGCACAGTTCTGAAGCCACGCAAAGTCTGTGCAAGCGGCAAGAGAAAGAAAGATGAAATAAGTGTTGACAGCCTAGACTTCAACAAGAAAATCCTTCATACAGCCTGGCACCCCAAGGAGAATATCATCGCTGTAGCTACTACAAACAATCTGTATATATTTCAAGACAAAGTGAATTAGGGTTGGCATTCCTAGCAGAAGAGCCCACTTCCTGCTTAGTTGAGATAGTTGAATCTAGCATTCGTACCTATAAGAGAGAGGTCCATTGTGGCGCCCCTTTCCAGTGTTTGACAGTGTGCCATTCAACAACACATTTCTGTAGCTACGTGGAGAAAGCTCTGGGTTCACCCCGCTGTTCTCCATGTCTGCTAGCCATTTAGGTAAGGGTAGGGCACTTTTAATTTAAATGACTTATTGCACCATCTTGCCTAATGGACTAGATTGAACTGTGTCAACATTGATTTACTCCACTTTTTATGCCTTCCATTGTGATGACGTCAAACACAGTGAAAGCCTTCAGTCATGCTATGGGATTTAAATTGTGTATCCGCATTACTGTATCATTTGTGGGGTACACCCCTTCCCCCCTTTTTTTAAATTAAATACAGCTCATTCTTACTGTGGCTTGTAGCATTCCTCCTCTTCTGGCCTCCTGGACTCTTCCCCTCATCTCTCTTACCCTTGCTCCCTCCACCCAGTCTCGGTGGTGGTGTATTTAAAAAAAAAGAACGAACGAAAGCACACAAAATGAGTCAGTTTGGGGTCAGCGGTCAAAGGGGGTATATGTTGCGAACAAATGTTTTAATAACAGTTGGCTGTAATCACTCCTTGCCATGTCTGGCACTGAAAATAAGGAAAAAAAAACTACTACTGAATAAAAGTGACAAAGAATGGAGAATCTGGTTTTCTTTTTTTTAATCTACCTCTTTAAGCCAATATTTTGTGTCATACCCTTGGGCGCAGTGAAATGAAATGGGTTTCCATTGTTTTGTTGGTATTTTTGTTAATTATTTTTTAACAAGTGTTCTTTTACATGGACATGAGGTATTCTGTATGAACATGTTTTGAATATATATTGGTATTAAGGATTTCACAATCAATAAATGCTAATAGAGATTTTTAAAAACTGTAGTGGTGAGGGTATTGGATACATTGTATCTTCACTTAACTCACTACCTGTTAATGAAATTGTAACGGGAACCAAATTTGTAGAACTTTTTGTTTTTAAAAGACTTTTTTATAGTGCTGAATTTCATTTTTGCCTTACTAAATACGAAGTCAAAGACTTAAAATATTTTTAACAAGGTAAAACCTTTTTTGTCATTCAGTCATATGGCAGAAACGTAACATCAAGTGATTTACATAGATAAAATGGACACTGCACTAAATACTTTTTTTTGTATTTTACTATCAAATCAATGAACTGTACTTTGCCATAGATGTTTTTCTTCTGTTTTATTTTTAGTTTTCCAAAGTTATAAAAGGTACAGTGTTCAGAAAGTATTGGACTCCAACAGCTGCCTCAATGCATTTAATAATCTGTATATGACTACAATTTCCCTAAGTGATAATACCTTATCCAAAGATGAAGAGTACCCCTATTTTTAATAGGTAGAATGTACCTTTATCACTCTTACAGAAGCTTTAATGGAGAAAAAAATGGATTTTATTTTTAGAAGGTGGATTGAACAGGCATTTATATTATTGGAGAATGGTAGTATATTTTGGTTGAGCAGTAATATAAGAACCTTGAATTTCAGAGGACTCTTGAGTGCTTAAATGTCCACTACCTGTTGTTTTATTATCTTCAATAATGAAAAACATGATTAAGCAATTTGAACGTATTTCCCTCTCCATCTATAAAAGTATTATGTCTTGTAAGTTAACATTTTTAGCACACAGGAGAAGTTTTGTGTAATAAAATTACTGTATCTTTTGGACCTAACAAATCTGAATTTGTATTTAAACATTGATTTTATATGTCTGATCATTTTAATGGCACTTTTAGTAATTTATTTGGAGATCCTGGGTGCAGTCATAATTTGTGTTATTTATTCTTCACACTTGATTTGCAAGTGAGATACTCCCCTGCCAGAAGTTTCAAACAGTGATATTGTTTTCTGATTAGTCAACTTTCCAGATCTTTGGTGGAGGTTGTTTCCCTATAGTTGTGATGTGTGTCTTGAGATACCACCATGAAACTGCTCTTGGAAGTTTTCAGTCATCAGTAGCTATGATGATTCTCATCCATGACACTAAGAATTAGAGTTTTATATATTTAAGAGAAACATAATTGCTAAAATTAAAATGCCTTTATCAAAGAATGCTATGATAAATTATTGTAACATTATTCTCAAGTATTAATTTTTTAAAATTTCTTTGATGTAGCAAACTATAAGCCCAGCCACTCATTTTATATGGTCGTGGTTAATCTTTTTATTAATAAAAATTATACTTAGAATAAACCTAGTCTTGTCAAGTTGCTTGTATTTCCTGTTCTTTGCCACTAATATATATACTCTATCCCCTCTCTTGACCTTTTTTAAAAAATTACAGTAGAAAGAAACTTTCTATTCCTTTCCTTTGATCTTTTCTTAGTGGCAGGGCAGTAAGAATACTTACTTTAAAACTCCCTTTAATAAACATCTCTTTATATAGCAACTAACTACAGAATGTTAAGTTTCTGTGAAGCCTTAGTTTCTTTGAATAGAAAGAAAAAATGTATCCATGCACTTTTGTCCTTTTCAAATTAAGATGTTTTAAGGTCTTCAGTGTGAGAGTTACTCTGGTTAAAGGTATTTGTAAAGAAAACTAGGACTATGAAAATGGGTTCTATTCATATGTAACAGTGTAAGAGTATGTTTATTCTTAGAAAATTGCGCTTATGTGAAAGCTAAGTAGTAACTGATAAAAGCACTTTCAATGAAATTTAAACCATTGCCACCTTAAGAGGGAATATTGCATCAGCATCTTTCTCTTGGACATAAATTCAAGATAGTAATTTCTGGGAGAAAAAACCCAAGCCAAGAACAAAAAGATAGGTGTATGCTCAAGAATCAGGAATCAAGTTGGGTGGAAGCACCACCATTGTAGGTACCTTGTTTACCTGTCTTTTCCCACGGTCAATAGTAAGGTGTGTGTCTTTACACATTCCTCTTCCCCAGAAACCAGCCTGTATCGTCTTGTAATTATGCATATGAGGTAAAAGTAGATTATGCTCACTTTTTGGTATTAACCAAATGCTTAGTGAGTCTATGAAGTCTTGAGGCGTTCTCAGGTGCTAAATATATTTTTGTAATTGAGTTTCGTGTCTCAGCATTTAATTGCATGGTGGTATTAGATTGTAATCCATTATCTCTACATAAGAATTAAACATCAGTTTTACAGGTGTGAAGTTAACCTGAAATCACTTCTTAGTATAGTGCCTGTCAGAAGGCATGACAAAATTTAGTTTCTTCAAAAGAAAAATTAAGCAAAAAAGATAAACAGGCATAAAGGAAAAAGATTAATATTTGTCTTTGATAATGTTTTATTCTTAACGTTCCTTAGTAATAGGAATAGCAAGGAGTTATTTGAGGACTTTCCCACTAGGGGGCAATGGTTAGGTCTTGATCAGCAATTATAAGGTTTTTTTTCAGAATGTATAATGGGTTCTGTTTCTGTACTGGAAGAGCTTTGTTATTTAAAACCAAGTGGAAATTTCCAAGTACATGTAGCCCAAATAAAGTCACTATTCAACATGACACTGGAGTGAGTGAGTGAGGACCTGGTGATGGGGGAGCCCAGGTGCCTACTGTGGCACCTGTCATGGTCATACTTTATTGGAGAAACAGCAAAAATAAGATCAGAAGGTGGTTCTGAGCTTTCAGTCGCAAACTGTTCAGTATGCATGTTCATCCCTTTCCAAAGTCAGATCTTACATGCCACATTAGCATTCTCCCTCCTTGACATGGAGAGCTGGAGTTTCATGTTGCACATTTATGTTGGTTTAACTGAAATGTCTTTTTAAGTTTTACTTTTTTTAATGTGTTCTCAATACATGTTCTTTGGAAAGTGAAAAGGAAAAAACTCAGCCCCGCCAGTTACAAGCAAAGACAACTCCCAGCCACATTTTTGTTGTGTTTTTCTATGGGCATCTAAGTTTTTCCTTAGAAAATGAAATCAGAAGTACAGTTTAGTGTTCTGTCTTTCCACATAACCTATTTTGAGGGGTTCTTATATAGAGTACTCCGTCGGTAGGATTTTCATGTCTACATAGCTTCATGGTTGCGTGCGTATTTTAATCAGCCTGTTCCTGTTGAGACCGATTGTTTTCATTGTAGGAAATACTGAAATAATGAACATACTTTCTAATCTTAGTGTATAGAGCTGTTCGGATGCATTCCAAGAAATGTAACAATTATTAAGGGACATGGATATATGGGGGGCAGCAGGTGGCGTGGTGGTTAATGGCACCTGACTCCCACATGGCCAACCGCAGTTGTAGTCCTGGACCTGGCGGCTTGCTTTCTCATTGTCTCTCTCTCCTTCTCTGGTCAAATTTAAATAGATAAATAATTCCTTTTTTAAAAAAGACATGGATATATTTATGATTTGGTTCCTATTGTTAAATTTCCCTTGTGAGCGACCAGTGGATAGTGTAGCAGTTATGTCACCGAACTCCCACGACTGACCGTGGTTTGAGTCCTGGACCTGGTGACTTGAAAATCACGCCAGGAATGTGTGTGCATGCCTAAGATCCCAGGAGAAGGGATTGTGGCATGGCCATCTACCCCAGAGATTGGTTTCTCACTTTCCCTCTCACTGTCTCTGTCTGTCTGGAGAGCACACCCTAAGGCCAAAATCTCTTGGGGGCGTGGGGGGGTGGTAATTCCCTCGTAAAACTTCGGTAAGTTCCACTTGATAAGTATTCAGGATTACTCATATTTGCACACTCACTAGTTGGAGAAAAACCCCATGTATTCATTTTTTAAAAGTCCGCGCGGGCAGCAGGCGGCATGGTGGTTGGGGCACTGGATCCCACATGGCCACCTCTAGCAGGCCTGATGGCTTACAGACCCAGCAGCTTATTTAAAAAAAAAAAAAAAAAAAAAAAAAACCTGGGTGTGTGTACCCAAAATCTGGAGAGGAAAACAAAGGGATTGTGGCTTGGTCAACACCTCGGGGGGTGGGGTGGTGGCAGTTTCTCACACCCTTGTTTCATATCTCTAACGAGTGTACACACCCTATAGGAAAAGGCTTAAAAAAAAAAAAAAAAAGTAACAACCCAGAGACCATTTCTGATCTCTAGCTAATCTCTTGTATAATCTGAATACAAGAACTCTACCAGACGTGCTTTATAAATATACTTCCAATCTGTGACTTTTTTCTTTCAACAGTGCCTTTTGGAAAACAGTTCTTAGTTTTCTTCAAGTCATCATTTTTTATGCGTTAAATTTTTGGGGTCATAACTAGAAAAATCTTTGCCTAATTCAAGGTCACAGTATTTTTTTTAGAAGTTTCATAATTTTTAGTTTGTACATTTAGGTGTGTAATCCATTTGAGTTTTTAAATAGGTAAGTTTGCTCGTCCTTTTTGCACGTGTTGAAAATCAGTTGACCGTATATAGGTGAGTCTGTTTCTGAATCACTTTTTAAATGTGTATGTCTGTGCTTTCACCAATATGGCCATGTCTTGACTCCTGTATATTTACATAAGTCTCAAAATCGGGTAATAAATATGAGTAATCCAATCTTGTTGTTTTTCAGTGTTATCTGCTATTTTAGTCCCTTTGCCTTTACGTTTTAGATCAGCCTGTTGACTTCCAAAAGCAAAACAACAAAAGAACACCTTCAATTTTGCTGATATTTGCATTGAATTCAGACCTACAGTTCAGGAAGAGTGGGCACCTTGATGTAT